TATAAATATATATATATATAAAATTGCCAACAATTACTGAGCTTCATCTTCTGGACAAGAATGCCAAGTCAGTCTCTCTTCATAAAAAGCAATTACAATCTGAGGACATTTCATATTTGCCTCTTTGGCCAGCACCAAGTCAGCCTCATCTGAATCCTTCCTGTTGTGAGGAAAAAAAAGTGGTTAAAAGTTGTCAGCTGAGAACCATTCAACAAATGGGAACCACTTATAAAACTTTTTGTACAACTTCACAGAATTAAAAAAAAAAAAAAATTTCCACCCAAAAAACTATTCTCAAGCTCAGGTTTGTAACAATGTATGTCTTTAAGTTTTGGGCCAGCCTGAGCTACATAGCAAACTTTGTCTTAAAAACAAGACTCCCCTCCAACAAATCAATCATCTATTCATCTGTCCATACTTTTAAATTGTAACATGGTAGCAGGATGGCTCAGCAAGTGAAGTCACTTGCCACACAAGCCTGGCAATCTTTTAATTCTTTAATGCAAGATGGAAGGAGAGAACTGAGCCTTCAAAGTTGTCCTCTGATTGACTTCAACAAGTACACATGACTTATGATATATATGCCTACCATCATTATGCCTACACACACAATAATAAAAGTGAAAAAAGCAACAACTGCCTACATACCATTTCATGAGAAACATCAATTCTCCACTACTGTCTGTGGCACCAATGATTCGTTCAGGATCAAGACCCCTGGCAAAGCCTCTTGGTTTATCAGCCTGTTTAGAAGGTTAAGTGACAATTTGCACAAATATTTCCACACAGCAAACTAACATTATCTTTACATTTTCTTTGTGAAATACAGCCTTAAATGGGAGCTTCCAATAGTGAAACAGAAACAACTAGAAGATGACAATTAGACATGCAAACATGCTGTGGGCCTAGGGATAGTTTAATTGGTAGAGTGCGTCCCTAGCATGCCCAAAGCCCTGGGTTTGATCCAGCACTTGTTAGCTGGAGGCAGAATCACCAGGAGTTATATATATACATACTATATATATATATATATATATATATGGCCTTTTGAGATAAGGTCTTACTCTATAGCCCAGGTTAGCCTCAACCATTCATTCCTACCCCAATTTCTTGAGTGCTAGGAATACAAGGATGGCAATCACACTGAACAATTATAACTCTTAAAAATCCTAGCACTTTGGAGGCAGAGGCAAGAAGACTAAGTTCAAGGCTAGTGGGGCTATACAGTGACCACCCCCTCATTAAACAAAAGAGCAACAATAATAATAAATAAACAGCCAGGTATGGTGGCACAAGTCTATAATCCCAGTATTCAGAAGGATCACAAGTTTAAGTCCATCTGGGTCATATAGCAAGACCCTGGCTTAAACAAATCAACCATAACAACAAAATCCCAAATTAATCAAGTCACTTTTATGAAGTAAGTATAAATTACTTGCTTATTTTAAAGGCATAAAGATATTAAAAAATATACAAGGTCTAGAAACTATTTTCAGGTATCTGACTTCTGAATGTTTTCATATACTTCCCCTAAAACATTACTAGAAACAAGGCATGGTGGCAAGAGGCTCTGGGCTTAATCCAAAACTTGTAATAGGAGACAGAAGGATCAGGAGTTAAAGGTCAGCCTAGGCTACACTACTGTCACAAAAACAAAACAAAACAAGTTACAACAAACCCATCACAACCAACAAAAAAGCACTGCAATAAATGCAGCAGAGCTATCTTTTTTGATTTGTCTTTTTTTTGGAGAAAAGGCCTGCCTCCTCAGCTCAAGCAAGTTTCAAAGCCCTGTAGCAATCCTCTGACTTCAACCTCTCAAGTGCCTGGATCATAGGTGTGAGCCCTCAAGCCCGGTTCTGTATTCAGCCCAGGAGCTGTCTTCCCTTCAGGCTAGATACTAAACAGATGTTTATGTGTAAATGCTACATGCCTCAATTTGTTTTGGAAGTTACCTGTCAAGACATGTTTAATACTCAATAGGTTTTATTTATATGCATGCATTTATGTGTTTGCATAAATATGTATTTTCTAAGATAGGGTCTAAGTAGACAAGGCTGGCTTCATACTTGATATGTAGTTGAAGATGACCTTCAATTTACCTCTCAAGTGTTTGAATTATACATGTGTGCCACCTCATCCAGTTGCTTGCTAGTCAGTTTAAAAAAATAGCATTTTTGGGGGGATCTTTTGAGACTAGGTCTTTTTATGTAGCCCAAGATGGTCTTATGGTTACCATCCCCGATCTCAGCCCTGAGTGCTGAGATTACAGCCATGCACCATCACACCTGGCCTTATATTGTTATTATGTGAGACAGGGTTTCCTTATAGCCCCAGCTGGACTAGACTCTCTAATGGAGACCAGGATGGCCTTCATCTGGGAAATCTGCCTGCCTCTGCTTTCTTAGTGCTGGGACTAAAGGCATGTGTCACCACACCTGGCTTTCTTTTGGTATTTTAATTTTTTTTTTTTGGTCTTTTTGAGACAGGGTCTCCCTGTAGCCCCAGCTGTCCTGGAACTCACTATGTAGACCAAGCTGGCCTTGAACTCAGAGATCCACCTGCCTCTGCCTCTGCGTGCCACCACGCCCGGCACTTCAATCTATTTTTATTCTTTAAGATTCACATCAACGTACCAGGCTCTGGATTCAGACTGCCTAGGTTAGAATGATGCCTCTATCCATCTAAAGGCTTTGGACAAGTTAATTAATCTCTTTGTGGTTCAGGTTACAGTAGCCCAGATTTTTGGCAGTATATGAAATGTGAATTAATCTATATATATAGAAAACTGCCTGCCTCAATACGTTAGGTATATCACTATCAAAGTTGTGCTTCCCTTAAACATATCATTTACTTTCAGACTTTGTTTTCTGATTCATATAATAGGGACAGAATCTAGATTTAGTACGTTGTCCTGAACATTTACCAGACTATCCTTAAAGTTCTTGGTATCTAGTTCAAAGGATCAAACCAGAAGCCCGTAGTCCTTTACTAATTTAATGGATATCCCACATTTGGAGCCTGAGCCTAGAAACTAATGGAACACCAAGTCTTTCTCCCTCAAATTACCACATTAGGCCAGCAGACAGGGCAAGTCCAAGCATGTATTAAGTCAAGTAATGATGTTACCGGCATTAGTGTTTCTAAAGAATCAATCCCGGTACATGTATATAACAAATGAATCAAATGTCTCAATTCATACCAATAAATAAACATTCTACCAAGTGTGTCTCAGCTAATCTCTATGTTTAAAGTTAGGTACCCAGGTAGGTCTCAATTTGTAATCCTGTCTCAGCCTCCAAAGTAGCCAGGATTATAGGCCACAAACCCAGATCCCAGAACTGGAGTTATGGTTAGTTGCCATGTAGGTAATGAGAACCCAACCTGGGTCCCTTCAAGAGCAGCCAGAGCTCTTAACTGCTAAGCCATCTCTCTAGTTCCATAAATTATAGTTTTTCCTTGGGGGTGGTGGTGTACATGTTTAATCCCAGCACTTGGGAGGCAGAGGCAGGTGATCCAGGCCAACCAAAGCTACATACTGAGAACTTGCCCAGTTTTTGGTCTTTGAGACCATAGCCCAGGCTATCCTGAACTCACTATGCAGACCAGGCTGGCCTTGAACTCAAGAGATCTGCCTGCCTCCTGAGTGCTAGGATTAAAAGTGTCTGCTACCACGCCCAGTTTGAGACCTTGCCTTTAAAAAGAAAAGAATATTTTAAAGTGGGCACTGTGGCAAACATCTATAATCCCAATGTTAGGAAGGTGGAGGAAGTAGCAGGGTCAGTTAGTTTAAGGTCATTCTCTGCTACATGGGACCCTGCCTCAAACCCACCCCCTAAAAGGGAACTATTCAGAAAGGGGGGAGGACTGGAAGACAAATTAGAACAAAGTTTAAGGATACACATGTATGACAATGCCACAATGAAACCCATCACTTTGTATACTAATTTAAAGAATAAAATATGTAACTAAAAGTATTCTAGCTCAAATTTTTTTTAAAAAATTCAAAACCAAGCCATCAACTTTTATAAAGATCCAGTCTGGTTGGTAGTATTTTATACTTACAGCATCTCTTTTCTTCTTAGATTTGCTATCATCAGATTCACTGTCAGATAAAGATTTTCTTTTTGTACCATCTTTTTCTTTACCAGCTTTTTGAGAATTAAGAAATGCTTCAATTAACTCTGGACAATCTAAATTTTCTTCAGGTTCCCAAGTATTATCAGCACTGTGTTCAGTTAAAGAAAAAAAAAAGTTGATTCAATTAAACATAATTCATTGCTAGTACCTGGAACTATTTATAGTTATCTGGAAAAATTTTCCACACGACAAAAGACTAATTCCCTTCCTATCCCTTAGATTCTTGAGAAATTGTAAATTTCCTTTCATGCCTGCCTTCACATCCCTAAGTGAGCAATCTGTTATTTCACCACAAAGGTAACTGAACCTGTTATTGATGCTATTATTTTTTTCTGTTCCACAAACAACCCATTTTATGTAGCAAAACTGGTCTCAAACTTGTCTGATCTTCAGGCCTCTATCTCCCAAGTTTTGGGATAAAAGGTATGCTCCAAGCATTGTGTACATTAGGCAAGTTCTCTATCAACTGAGCTGTATTACCACACCCTGAAAGGGTTTTAAAATTTATTTTTTTCTTTTCTTTTTTTGAGACAGGGTCTTATGTAGCCCAGGTTTTTTTTTTTTTTAAAAAACAGTGATTCCTAGCAGGGAATGGTGGTGCATGCCTTTAGTCCCAGATTTTAGGAGGCAGAGGCTGGCAGGCGGGATTCCCTTAAGATCAGGCCAAGCCTGGTCTATGTTGAATTCCAGGCCAGCTGGGGCTACAAGGAGATCCAGTCTCAAAAAGACCATAATCAAAACCCCAAAACAACAAACACAAAACTAAAAACAGCAAAAAAGTGATTCCTAATTCCCTAATACTATATATATTATGCATAGGATTGGGATTTCCAAAAGCGTTTTGTAAATAATGATTCTGAGACATTCTCAACTGTGAAATATTTTCAACTTTTGTTGGGTTCACAATTTGGAGGAATGACATAAAAGTTGGTTTAAAAACAGAAACAAAAGCCAAAACCTAGCCTTTTGTATGGTTTGCAAAGGAACATTTTTTTGTTTTGTTGAGACAATATCTCATATAGCCCAGGCAGGCCTTGAATTTCTAATCCTTTTGCTTCAGCCTCCACAGTACTGTACAAGCCCAGCTCAACCAAAATTCCTAAAAATTTTTAAAGGTTGGGAGGAAATGAAAATTATCCAAAATCTGAATTTCAAGACCGAATCTGCTGTTGGAATCTAGTCGTGCTCATCACTGCAGCATCTACTGCTGCTTTGGTACTGCTTATGTAAAGTGTCCTAGAGACAGGACAATGGTCTGCAATGCTGAAAAGGGTTAGAAAAGGCCACAATGACCATTTCCACTTGTTTTTCAGAAAGTCTGTTAATAGGAAACATGATGGCTCACTACGTTTGTGAAGGTGTAATCACCCTCACCAGCTGACAGGCTTGGTTAAGTTTCCCTGCTCTGGCCCCAAATCTTTTTCTTTTTAAAAATTTTAACTTTTAATTATGTTTATATATGTGTGTCTGAGTGTGGGTTTGTGGGGAGACAGAGACAGGATGACCAGAAGTTCATGATTATCCTTGACTATACTATAGTCAGTTCAAGACCAGCCTAAGACCCTGTCTCAATAAAACTAAAAATAAGCAAATGCATAAAATGACCATCAATCTTGGCCAGGTGTGATGGCATATGCCTTTAATTCCAGGAGAGGCAGGTGGATCTTTTGAGTTTAAGGACAGTTGGGACTACAGGAGACCCTGTCTCAAAAGAAAGTGATCATCTCTAATCCTGGCACTTGGAGGCAGAATGAGTTTGAGGCCAGTCTGGCTGCATGAGAAACATTGGCTTAGAACAAAAAACCAAAACAAAAAACCCCAAACCATAAAATTACTGAGTTTTCTTACTCTGTAAATCCCTTCCACTTCAGGAAATACTCCACCTTCCCATTCACTACACGTCGATCCAGTACTTTCTCTACCACAAATTCTTCAGGCTCTGCCTCTTCAACTTTTTTACTCTTTCCATTCTGTTTCTTTCCCATTTTTTGCTAAAACAAAAGAGAAATTAATAAGCATTTAAAAAAATTTGAGTACATTTTAAAGGCCAAATTTCTTACTTTGTTATTCATCTAACATAAACATTTTTTAACTTTTCAAAAAAGAATTTTACTTCTGTGTTCCAGGGCAGGCACCTTCTTTCTGGTCAACAGATAACAAAAGATTGCTTGATTCCACTGATTTAAACTTATAAGCCATCACCCTTCACCAGTACCACAGAACCAAAAACACAATCTGAGAAAAAACTTTCTCTTTTCCTGCCACTTACTTTAAGTACGTAGTGCAACAAATAACTAGAAAGTATTAGAGAAGGATAAAAAGACTGAATAAATATTACTAATAATGTATTTTTAAATCTGAGACAGGTCACTTGTAGCCCAGATTGTTCTCCAAATTGCTATGCAGCCAAAGATCTTAAACTCCTGATCCCCATTTCAGCCTAAGTACTGGGGGACTATAGGCGTGTACCACCATGCCCTATTAAGCGAAAGGTCCTACTAAGCACAGTGGATCTATTTAGCTGGAGCCTCAAGACAGATCCCTTTCCGAACTTGAACACGGATCACTTTAAGAGGCCAAAATGATGATCTTATTTTTTAGAAATAGTGAAAAAAACTATTTCCTGGCTTCTCAACAAAGCAGCCAAACTGCAACCAACTAAATGTACTTGAAAGAGAGGTGTGAGGTGGGCATGGTGGCTTACACCTGTATTCCAGGACTCAGGAGGTTGAAGACGGCTAATCATTGTGAGTTCAAGGCCAGCCTGGATCTACAGAATGAGACTTTGTCAAAGATTTTTAAAAAAAAAAAAAAAAAAAAAAAAAAAAAAGCTATGTTTTTCTTTTGGGGGCTTGGGTATAACATTCCTTACAAGCATTTTCTAAGCAGACAAGCAGGTATCATATTGAAACTAGGTAAAATTTTGAAACCTTGAGATAGTTAACTAGAAGACCCTTACAAAAACTCTCAACCCAATATGCTTAATCATTAAAACAGTGCTATTTATTCATGTACTCTTTAAAAAATTTGGGATAAGTGCTTCACTCTAAAGCTCAGGCTGGCTTTTAACTTACTGTGATTCTCCTGCCTCAAGCTCCCCTAATTCTGTGATTACAGATGTGCACTGCCATGCCCAACTACAGGTGTTAAGAAATAAAAAAGAACCAAAATCCCTTAAAGACCCAGTCACCCAAGCCATCCACCAAGTAAAGGATCCAATCAAGAAAAATCAACAGCATGACCTCAAAACCACAAAAAGATGCTCGAAACTACCCCGCATACAGGGGTATTCCTATACATACAATACTGTGTAGAATTTATCAGTAAATGCTTCATCATTTTATCGCTTCTGGCTCTGACCTATATATGACCATCGATCAGATCAAGAGTCACCAGAATCTTCACACTATAGATCCCTATCTGCTCTGCAGAGAATGTGAAGACATCACACAGATCAGAGCCAATGTTTTGTTTAATTAGGTGTGAGTACTTGCCTTTATATGCTTATATAATTATGAATACAATGTATTAAAATGTAGGAACTGTAATTTAAAATTTCATGATTTTCATATGAATTCTAATTTTTTTTCAGATAGGACTTTGGTATCTGCTACAAAGCCTAGGATAGCCTCATACTCATGGCACTCTGCCTGCTTCAGCCTCCCACATGCTGGGATTACAGTCATGTACCACCACATCCAGCTTTATTTTTATGTTAAAAATAAAAAAAAACGTAACCTTATGCAGCTAAACATTTCCTTATACATTTGTCTAACTTGTTACAAAATTCAAGAATGCAGATTTGGGCTTAAATTACTGGAGAAAAAAAAACTGCTCAAAACATATAGAATTGATCCAGTGTTCTTTCCTTCCTAGACATTTACCTGTAATTTTTGTGCACAATTGTACAACAACACAATGCAGTAAATTATAGTTGATTCACTCTAGGTACACAAAGCCCGTTTTGTTTAAGCTGTGCACTAATGGATATTTGACATTTCTAGAAATTGGCAGACTTAAGGAAAATTATGCCCATTAACGAAGTATTATAGATTTGTCTACATATTTTTTCGTATTGCAAAAATGTTCCTATGGAGGTGGTCAGAGAACCGTGTTGTGGCGTTTGCTCTCTCCTTCCACTTACTGGGTTCTGGGATCTTGGGTGGCCAGGCTTGTATATCAACCCAAAACCTGTTTTGTTTTTTTTTTCCAAACAGGGTCTCCCTGTAACCCCAGTTGGCCTGGAACTCACAGAGATCTGCCTGCTTCTGCCACCCAAGTGCTGGGACTAAAGGTGTGCTAGGATTAAAGGCCCTAAAACCTGCATTTTTAAATTTCAAAACAAAAACATCCAGCAAGTTGTTTTGCAATTTTATAAGATTAGGTTTTAATGCATCCGGACTCTCAACGTTAACAATTTACTTTTTCTATTCAATTCTCTCCCTAAATGCTACTGAAAGTGCTGGGGACATATGGATGTAACTTCTCAAGTTTTTGAGAAAAAAAGCAAAAACTCTTAAACACTTAAAATTCTTACATTTCAGGTTTTCATGAACTTACCAAGGTAGTTTTATTGGAGGCCATTTTTAAAAATTGCAGACTTGAAGAGCTATTGCAAGAAAAATGCATGACAGTTAAGTTTTCATGATATATAAAAGGTAACTAAATACAAGTTTTATTTGGATTTCAACCCTTAGGTAGCTCCAGAATATTTATTTCCAACAGTACTCTAACCATGTTAGCAAAGATGAGCTTACGGGACAGAGGGACCTGAGACAACCGTACACGGTGACCACTTACTTTATCAATCTAAATCCTACTTATAACAAATTCAATTTTTTGAAGGCAAACCTTTTGTTTCGAAATCAAGCACAAAAATCGTAAAACAGATCGGCAAATTACCTAATGAGTTTTTTCTCCCCTATATAATTCTAACTTGATTTTCTCTTCAATCACTAAATAACTAAAAGCAAAATACTGAAGTGTCGCAGTCCTATTTGGAGACAGGGTGTACCACTCTGTATGGCCTAACATGCAACCCGAGGCAATCCTCCTGCCTCCGCCGGTCGAGCGCAGCCCTCATACTGTTAAACGGAAATCAGTCCCTCCAAGCCGCCAACCCGGCGATTCTGGGGTCCGGAGGCTTCAAGGCATGGCACCCGCCCACACAACCCGCGAACAGCAGCCTCGTGGCCCGCAGGGAGAAACAAAGGCGGCGGCGGGGGCTCAAGGGCACTGCGCCACAGGCCCGCACCTCCCCCGCCGGCGGCCACGTAGCGGAGCGCGCCGCCGCAGGCCTCCTGGATGCCGGAGCATGCACGGCCTCGCTGCAGGCCCGATGCGCGCGGCGGGCTGGGGGAGGGGGCCCGCGCTTTGTCTAGATCTGTGGCAGCTGCGACCGCGGCTCGCCACCCTCTGCGGGACCGAATGGCCCTCGTGAGCTGCGCGGCCCCAGGCCCATCCCAGGGCCGGCCCTGTAGCCTTGTCCGCAGCCCTCGCGGGGCCGTGCCGCGCCGCTGGGAGGGACGGAAAGCTGGGCACTGGGGGTCCCGCAAGCATCCTAACCCTCGCCTCCGCGACCTCCAGACGAAGTCAAGCCACCGACTTCACCGCCGTGATGCTCGCGGCTGCGGATCCTGCAGCGTCTCCAGATAGCGCGCCTCAGATCAGCCTCATCCAAGGGGAGGGGGCGCGGGCTGCGCGGCGGGGAGGGGAGGCACCGCCCACGCTCGGCGCGGAGCAGGGCGGGGCAGGGGGGAGGGGGGGCGCGGGGCCCGCCGGGAATGCGGCCTGGGGGGCGGCGCCCGCTGCACTCACCGTGAGCGGCCTGGCGCCAGGGGGGTCTCTGAAGGACGAGCGGGGGGAGGGACGGACAGTGATCCGGTCCTCTCGGGGGCGGCTTCCTGGCGTCGCCGTAGCGCGCCAAAACTGAGCTCCGCCCACTTCCTCTCCCCAAGGCTGGGCGGATCCGGGAGTTAAGTGGGGTTAAAGACTACCCTGTGCGCAGGCCCGGGTTACCCCGAGGCCTTCGGGGAAGGCTCGGTTGGCACTTCGTGAGCTGTAATTGGTGCACTAGACGCCCTCTGGGTGCTTCTAGAAGGGGCCGCATCAGTACTGTCCTGGGGGAGACAGAGAAAGGGCAGGTACAGACATTGTGGGGCTGCCGAGAGGGGCATGAGTCCTCGAGGGTGTGGCTGCAGGGAGACCTGGGGGGGAGGGCTTTAGTCCCGGAGCTGCGCATAAGTTCCATCCGATAGCGTTCATTTCAAACTGCGCGACCGTTTCTGGTCTCCCTGCGCTGCGCAGGGGGCCGGACCTAATGCGGAGTAGTCACGCGCAAGGCGCCAGCCTTCCGCAATTCACGAAACCTAGCTACGCAAGTGACGTAAAGCACTCCCACTAGCCCCGAGGGGGAAGGAACACACACTAGGCATAAAAAGGGTGTAGAGCATTCCCGCCATTGGCGGCGGTTAGGACGTTTACGTGACGGCCTGACGTAAAGGAAGACGCGTTAGTGGGGGAAGGTTCTAGAAAAGCGGCGGTCCGGGCTCTAGCGGCAGTAGCAGCGGCGCCGGATCCTGTGTGCAGGTGCTCTCCGCTGCGGTTTCTCGAACGGCGGCAGTTCTCGCCACAGCGGCAGGACGAGTCCGGTTCGTGTGCGTCCGCGGAGGTCTTTCTCTTCTCGCTCGGCTGCGGGAAATCGGGCTGAAGTGACTGAGTCCGCGATGGAGGTAACGGGTTTGAAATCAATGAGTTCTTGGAGAGGGAATGGCGGGGCCGTTGGCGCCGCGGTGGAAGCCGGCCAGCCGCCTCTGTGGGTGAGCGGCCGCGCGAGTGGCGGTTGGCTTGGGGGTGGGGGTTCCCGCGGGTCGTCGTCGGAGGCCCGAGGGTCCGGGCCCGATTGTGCGAGCACCTTCCCCGCCCTCAGCCGCCCGGCGCCATTTCCCTGGGCTGGGTGGGGGGATGGGAGCGGGCCGCGGGGGCCCCCGGCTGGTATGGCCCGGCAGCACGGCCTCGGCCCTGTAGAGCACGCGGATTCGGGTCTGGGCGTAGTGGCGGCGGGGCGTTCGGCGGCCCCCGGGGCCTCGGGAACGAGCCTGCGGAGCTTCCCCTCCCCCACTCTCCCGGGAACCGGATTTGGCGGCCGCCATTTTCCCGTCTCGCCTTCCGCGCGGCTTTTTTACTTCTAACTCTGTTCTCTTGTACTCGCTTGACCTTTTAATCACAGCATAGAAGTGGTTAACTATTTTTCTTTCTTTTCGGGCTGTTTTCATATCGTTTCGAGGTGGATTTCGAGTGTTTTGTGAGCTTGGATCTTAGCGTCCTGCGCACCTCGTTAAAGGCGCTCTGCCTTCCCCTCGATGAAATGGCGCCATTGCGTTCAGAAGCCACACAGAAGAGCGGGGTGGGGGGAGCTGCCCAGGGCTTGCCGGCACCGGCCGGAGAAGGTAGTACTCGTGAGGCATGGCCGGCTGGGAGCAGCCGTGATGCGGGCAACCATTTCATCTTTCCAGGCCGTATTCTCAGCGGGTTATCTGGGTCTGCGTGCCAAAGCGCAGAGCTGTAGGGCGCGAGAGGAAATGCTGGGAGCCCTCGGCGTGCTAGGGAGGGTTAGCTCGGGCGGAGGGATCCTATTCTACCTAAAGGATTTTTCTGTCAAATATTCGTACTATCAATGTTTTCTATGAGAAACAGTGTTTGAATCAAATTAACGTTCCATATGTTTTTGGTGGGTCAGATTTCTAGGAAACTGGACTGCAAATCATTTTATTTTAGTTGTATTTGTTGAACACGGCTCGATCAACTTTAATCCACGAATTGGCTATGGAAATTTTAGTCATGGGGCACTATGTATTTAAACTTTGTCACACTTGCTTTTCTAATTTGTTTGCAATCATGGTTGATCCTTATATTGCTAGCATAAGGTTTCGAGTTGAAAGGGGGTCTACTGGTTATTTTCTTTGACCCTAACTAAGCACATTTATAAAATAACCTTGTTTATAATCGATAGTGGACATCGGTAAGTTTGGAAAAACCTATGAGGTAAGTAATGAGCTTTTGCTTCTTGTTAGTGATACGTAAGAATTGTAGATGTAGTAATTGTGGAATTTGAGTTTAGAAAGGTATATTTATAGCCTTGTTATGTAATTTAAAAAGAAATTTGAATCTTAGAAATTATTTTATTTTGCATTTCTCCTCAATTTTTGAATGCTTAAAACTGCAGGGACAGTTGGCTTTTTTTTAAAGGGTTTTTATATATTATATATGCACATACTATATATATATAAATAAAATCTGGACAGGTTAGAAGTAATGTTTCGGAATTTTTATAGTTCTGTCCTGTGAGATCATAGTCGTTGGTCCTGAGTTAATTTATGAATAAATTTAACTTAGTTATTTTTAAACAACTTCAATTGCCCCAAGTAACTAATAAAGCATATATGGTACTATTCCAAAGTAAGAGATGCTTAGGTTTATTTTCTTGGAAATTTTGTGACAACCATTTTTGTGCAGGACTTGTCAAGTGGCTGCAAATTTGAAAAAGCCTTAGGTTGCTTTAATCATTGAAAACAAAGTGTTATAATACCAAATTTTAAGTAAGTTTGAGCAGTGTTTGGTGCTTAGTAGATGAGATTGTACTTGTCAACTAAATCCAAATAGTGTGCTCCCATCACAATATTGAACCTTCTGAGCTTTAGATGTAATTTTTCTGAGAGCTTAATTTTAAGGTCGTATGATGTATATCTTGAATTTTCAACCTTTTCCTAATGGAATTTTTAAGAAACATGTTTTAGTGTTACAGGCAGGGTATTTCTCCCCCTCCCCCCAGATAATTGAGTTACCAGCAGAGGGGGCAGTTTAAGGGAAAGCGAATCTGTCACTTCAGACTAAATTCCTGAAGTAAATGGTGAATTTGGGAACATAAGCAAGGAGCTGTTTCTTATTAAAATACCACAATTTGAGTAAAAAATAACTTCCGTGCTTGGGCTATTTTAAATTGAATGAATTTTGATAAGAATTCTTTAGAAACCTTTAAATGACCATGAAGTAGGTATGGTTTTCCTCAAAGTTTTTGAAAATTCAGTGGTACTAAGTCAAAGTTAATTGATGTGAACTAAAGTTAGATCAAGTATTTGTGACTTTAAAACTTGTATAGTTCAGCTGAGGCAATTTTTGGTGTAACACAACTAATATACAGTTTAACATATGGTTTAAATTTGATGTAAGTTTTTTTTTTCCCCCCCAGAAAACTTTAGAAACTGTTCCTTTGGAGAGGAAAAAGGTACTCTGCCAGCAGGTCACCTCATATTTAAGAATTTAATTTCCTGCATACAAAGAGAAAAATGTAAATAAAAATTGAAATGGTATTTTCCTTTCTAGAGAGAAAAGGAACAGTTCCGTAAACTCTTTATTGGTGGCTTGAGCTTTGAAACCACAGAGGAAAGTTTGAGAAACTACTACGAGCAATGGGGAAAGCTCACAGACTGTGTGGTACGTTAACTGGAAATCTGGCTGCAGATTCTGGCCTTAATTGCTGAATTTGTATATAAATTTTGTATTGGGAGTCATACAGAATCAGCATTCATAATTAAAAACTTCTAGTTGATTTTGCTAGCCTGTAACACCCTGAAATGCTAAAGTCCCCCTTTGGTTTTAAAGGTTATGAGAGATCCTGCAAGCAAAAGATCAAGAGGATTTGGTTTTGTAACTTTCTCATCAATGGCAGAGGTGGATGCTGCCATGGCTGCAAGGCCTCATTCAATTGATGGGAGAGTAGTTGAGCCAAAACGTGCTGTAGCAAGAGAGGTAAGGAGAACATAATTTTGCAAGGATTATGATAGTGCTGGTGGGGTTTTTGTTTTGAGAGCTGCTTTCTGCACTTGACTTTCCCAGAGGATGTAGTGGTATGCTTTGTTTTGTAGGAGTCTGGAAAGCCTGGAGCCCATGTGACTGTGAAGAAGCTGTTTGTTGGTGGAATTAAAGAAGATACTGAAGAACATCACCTTAGAGATTACTTTGAAGAATATGGAAAAATTGATACCATTGAAATTATTACTGATAGGCAGTCTGGAAAGAAAAGAGGCTTTGGCTTTGTTACTTTTGATGACCATGATCCTGTGGATAAAATTGTATGTAAGTATCTATAGACACTTAAATGTGTGGTTGTAACATAAATTTTTTGGTATATGGACATATACCCTATTGGGCGAACATTGAGTTGTTTGCTATTAGAATGTATTGACTTGGCAGCTTAATTTGTTGTTTCAGTGCAAAAATACCACACCATCAATGGTCATAATGCAGAAGTAAGAAAGGCCTTGTCTAGACAAGAAATGCAGGAAGTCCAAAGTTCTAGGAGTGGAAGAGGAGGTAACTAAATATATTTTATTTATTTATTTCTTTGTCTGAGTGCTCGATTCTAACAAGAGCATGTATCCCTATCCTAGGGAACTTTGGTTTTGGAGATTCTCGTGGTGGTGGTGGAAATTTTGGACCAGGACCAGGAAGCAACTTTATGGGGGGTTTTGGTAAGTTAAGGGTTTGAAATTTTCTTTTTTTTTTTTTTTTTTTTTTTTTTGAGACAACATTCTCCCTGTAGGCCCCACCTGACCCTGGTACTCACTATATACACTAGGCCTTGAACTGAGATTACCTGCCTCCTAAGTGCTGGGACTAAAGACATGGGCCACTACGCTCAGCCCACAATGTATTTTTAAG